AGGAGAGATCTCGAGTGTGGAGACGTCATCTTCCTCAAGGGCACGAGCCATTTTCATCACTTGCTATGCCACTTGCTTTGTACTGGAATCCATTCCAAGTAGAGTAGACATATTTGTGAATAGCCTTAGCAATTGACTCGCACGGAACTACACCACAAATTAATCCCGACTAGTGTCCAAGTTTTTAAACTCTAGCCGGGTGCAGTATAGAGCAAGTATTTAAATTGTCAACTCTCGGCCGATCCATGTATCTCTACTTCAATCGCTTAGGTTGTTATCTAGTAAGCAACTTTAGGGTTTAGGACCTTTAGGTTTATTGGAACTACAAACTAATCAAGCAAAGAAAAGTAAATAAAGGAAAATTCTAACTAAGGGAGCTTCACCTAGGAGTTGCTTCCCCCTAACTAGCTACCAAGACTTGTTGGATTGAAACGATTGTTATGGGCAAGGTAACCGCGAACTGCAGAGGGATGCATATATGGTCGTAGACCACAATCTCAATTGCTAAACCGAGGTAAGTATTATAGGCAGTGTCACTCGACCCTCTCGGTCTAGGCAATCGGTGGTTGACTTACTCCCTCACTCAACTCAAGGGTTGGACGGTTTAATCGCACTTAACCAATTTGCTTAATTCAACATTGAGGTTTGCCCTAAATTAACCTAGTTAGGTGGCTTAAAAAGCTAAAGGAAAACTAACTAGATTGAGTCTCCCTTAAAAGGGGGATTTTCCTCTCTAATCTAGGTTAAAGTGGCTAATTAGATTGCTAAGCACCAACATGCACAAATCTAAGGATGCTAAGCACAATTATGCACAATCCTTAGGTTTCTAAGCACCAACAGGCACAAACCTAAGGATGCTAAGCACAAAACATGCACAATCCTTAGATTGCTAAGCACGAGCATGCACAATCAACATGAATAATACCTCAATCATTGAATTAAACAATACCCAATGACAATCATTCAATCTAAACAAGTAATTACAAAGTATTAGTCAGGGATATACAACACCCAAGAGAAAAGAGTGATTTTCTAGAGAGAGAGAGTGTGTGTGTGAGAGAGAGAGAGTGAGTGAGAGATTACAAATTTGAGCTCAAGATCTTCTTCTTCTTCTTCTAGGCTTGAATCTCCACCCAAGCCTCCAATGATGTCCGAGATCACTCTAGCACTCTCTCTCTCACTAGAACTCCTCTTTGGTATTTTGGGCAAACCCTAGAGAGAGAAACGAATTCTTCTCCAAAAACCAACTCTCCTCTCTCTCTCCCCGCTGTTGTCTTCATATTTGCCCGAAAGTGACCAGTTCACGGACACGTTGGCCAGTTCACGGTCGTGAACACCTAAACGCGTCCGTGAACTCAGTCGTCTCCAAAAGGCACCGCTTTGCTTCCTGAGTTCACGGTCAATGGCCACAGTTCTCGGTCTTAGAGATCGTGAACTGCCTTGTCGTCAGTAACTTCAGGAATCTCGCTGGACTGCTCGATGTTCACGGTCTTGGGAGACCGTGAACTGCCTCTTCCGGCCGTGAACTACGGTTGTTTCCTGGGACTGCCTTTTCTTCGGTGTTTGCACTTTTTGACCACCAATTATCCCAAAATTCGACCTCGACCCTTCCACACGTGCTAGGACCTGAAATGTATAAAAACTAGCACAACCTATCATGAAACATGTCGAGGAACGATGAAATACTAAGCTAAACGAATAAGAAATGAGGGGTAAAATGTGTACATTTGGGCCCGAATCAGCAATCTATCCCGGTGAAGGCTAGTTGCTTGCCGAGTATTGTGTCTAAGAGGGATTGGTCAGCTTAAGAGATTACAAGTTATTTTTGGATCTTCCGCAGTCTAATCAACAGCAAAACAACCGAAGGAAATTACAACTTGGACCTAATTAAGGAGCTAAGGGGGAATCATACCTGAGTGAGTTCCCAACTTGTGATTAGATTAACTTTAACTGTAGTTTACTAGAGTAGTTATAGTTTTTCTATCTTAATCTTGTTTGCTAGATAATGAACTGAAGCTGAGTAATAGTAACTCTAAAGACCCCGTGTATTCGATATTTATTACTTGTGTCACTATATTGCAGTCCTTTTCATTGGTTACACTTAGCCATTGTTAGGAGTTGTGTTTTAGCGAGTAAAGTTTTTGGCGCCGTTGCCGGGGACTTTCTAGATTATTAGGAAAAACATAAGTTTGTTAATTTAGCTTTTCTTTCTTTTCTTTTTCACCCTTGATTTTCACTTGGGTGTTTTTGTTTTCGTTGGTACAGATCTGAATTATGGAAATATGATTTTTAGTTAGGAAATATGGTTTTTTATATTTTGTCCGAGGTTTGTGCGTGTGTGCCTATATAGTTTATTTTTATTTTATTATAAAGGTAAGTGTTTGAGACAAATTCTTATATCTGTGACTTTGCTAATTAACTAATTCTTAATAAATTAGTTAACAAATTAAATAGTTTTCAATTATAACTTTCGTGAGAATTATAATGGTGAGGACGTTTATGTGAATATAATTATCAATGAAATTGATAATGGTTAGTAGGTTTATAAATATAATTATCAATGATTGTTTAATTAATTATTATTTTATTCCTCGATTCTTTTGGTTTTTGCTTAGAGTGATGAAATGAAGATCACAGTCTCCATCTAGAGACTATTAGTTTAAAGATTAAAATCATTAGCTAGATAATTGTATTTTTAGGTTCTGTTTTGGGAAACGATAAAAAATAATGAGATCGTAACATCTTAAATCTATGTTTATGATGTACATTTTCTTTTACCATAGTGGCAAACCGACAACTCTGTTTGCTTTCTTTTTTCATAATTTTGTTTGATTTTTATCAAATATTAGTGAGAGATCTATATTAGTGCGATGATAATTCTTATAAAAACTTTCTTTGACACTAACATATTATTTTGTTATGTTATAACTGCCTTAGTATTATTTTGATTTTTAAGTTAATTCATACTATTATTGAATACTGTATTTATTGAAACTGCGGCTCAAAAATATATTCACCTTGGAGAATCATCTTATTGACAAAACAATATATGTTTCACTGCGATCTTCAAATAGCCACGTAAAAGGGACAAAATTTTGGTACATAACCTACTTTAGTTGCAACTGCCACAAATCTCAAAACCTATTATTAAGGAATTTTCAATTTCTCACAAATTTAGCGGACAATATCTCATTCGTTTTAACTCTGATTTTAAATGGGTTAGAAAACCATATTAGTTGAAACTTTACAAAGAAAAGTTGAAGAAGACTATAATGAGTAATTCTATAAGAATTATACAACAACATGAAAGACAATAGTAGTTAAGTAACAATCTACCTCTACGCTTATGTTCTTTTTAACTTCAAGTTCATTCATTAGAGAGAAAACAACGTACCAACTAAAACTTAAAGGTTTTTTTTTATCAAATAATGTATCTCAATTGTTGTTATTTTATAATTCAGGATTAGCTGTGAGTTGTAGATAACATTTGTTTAATCTAACTTTATTATATCGCGAGGAAGCTAGATTTTTTGGAATGTCTATTGAGAAACTACTCAAAGATAGTGACAAAATAAGAAAACCTTCGCCTCCTATGCCATACAAACCGAGAGCATGAAGTTAAATTTTCAGATCAAGTTCACTGATTACAACATTGCAAAACCCCATAAGTGGGTACACAGTTTTGAAGATAACGAAGTATGGAGAATAGCAGGAGAAGGAGGAAGAGTATGCTACCAGCAGAGCTAGTGAATTCAGTGATGGGGATAATGACGTTATTAAAATAAAGAAAGAGATTATAGATGGTGGATATAGAAATATATATAACGAGAGGAAAGAGCGAATGGTTGATAATATTTATGATTTGTATCAGGTGAAAATATACCATCGTTAAAAGATTTTCACATTTCTAAACGTTAATGCTTATACTATTGCTATAATTTATCCGGCCAACGGGCGGGCGCAACTCTAGTTCTTCTAACAGAGACGCTCTCACGCTCTGGCTCTCGCTCCACGGTAGGGATGGCAATGGGGCGGGTTTGCCTAAACCATCCCAATCCCCGTTTTCAAATACTCAAACTCATACCCGCCCCATACCCATGTGGGTGAATGTTTTGCAAATCCATCCCCATACCCGTGGATTTCGGGTACCCATGGGTAATACCCGCCCCCGTACATCCAACATAATTATACCTAAAACTTTACAATATTTTTTTAATTATAACACTAAACGAACCTACTATATAATGAAGTCGACAAACACGATCATTTTCTTAATATGGTTCAAAGAATATGATAAAAAAACATCTATTAATACATAAGTACAATATTTTCCAAATTATTACGCTCTAACTCTCATAGATCTACTAATTAATAATTAACTAACATACCTTGTTGATAAGGGAGAAAGTGAAAAAGTGAAGAGAGAATTGAGAGAAATGAATTAATTTTGGATTAGGGTGGTCACTCAATTACATTTCTACTATTTATTTTCTCGACTTACCTTCACTATCATTGAGAGGTTACAATTTGATCAACATCTTTTTGTGTATATGAAGAAATTCTTTTGGCGGAGCGGGTATGGGTATGGATATGGGGCAGGGGAGGCTAAAACCATACCTGCCCCATACCCATCAAATTTTTTGCGGATTTTACCCATACCCGATCAAAGTGGAGATTCCCACGTTAACTGGATCAGGGGCGGTCGGATACCTAATCCACGGTACCTTTCCCGCCACTTGTGACTATCCCACGTGCTTCTTGTTTTTCCTTTTTCACTTATTTCTGTAATTGCTTTTCTAAGCAATTAATCAATTTCACCCTTATAAAAGAAAAACTTGTAATCATTCAATTACGTGTTGATCAGTTGATGTACGGTTCTAAATCCGAGTTTTTGTATAATTTTATAGTTTTGGATTTTGTACCTATCCTTCCGCTCCCGGATAAAATTATGCACGAAGTTTGTTGAAGATGCAAATCCAACTCCAGATTTAAAAGGTTAAATCCAACGGAGAAGACGGTGTGACAATCTGACACGTAGACAGTCGGGTCGTTCAATTCCCTCTTTGGTGGTTATCGTCCATTCCAACTCTATATAATTCGTTTGATCTAACGATTGAGTCCCGATTCAACTCTGAGTCGGATTTCAATTCTTCTGGCAACTTCACCATGAGCGATCGGCTGAAGGAACCGCGCCTTTTTCACCTCAACAATGGCACCATTCGCGTCAGCATCACTAACTATGGCGCCACAATTACCTCCCTCTTCGTCCCTGACAAACACGGCGAACTTGCAGACGTTGTTCTTGGCTTCGATTCCGTCCAAACATACATGGCAAGTGCGAGATCCCCCCCTCTCCGTTTTCGTTTGAGTTGGATTGAAGGTTTTTGTTTGGTTCCCGAGAAAGTAATCACTTTTTCCATTTTTGGCAGGAGGGGAACCCGTGTTATTTTGGGTGCATAGTTGGGCGAGTCGCCAACAGAATAAAAGAAGGGAAATTCAGTCTCAATGGTGCTGATTATTCTCTTCCGATCAACAATGGCCCCAACAGTCTTCACGGTATTGCAATCTATTTTTCTTGCTGCTGCAGTTTTGAGTCGAACTGAAACCTCTTGCAATCCACAATGAGTGAAATTCAGTCTCAAAGAACCTTCTGAAATTTGGATGTTTCTAGTCTACATTTGTGATCCTTTCCACTGATAAACAATAATGCCCTTATTGAGTGAAATCCCGTCTTTGTGTGCACTGCTACTCAGGTGGGAACAAGGGTTTTGACAAGGTTGTGTGGGATGTCGTGGAGCAGAAAGATGGTGAACAACCATCTATTATCTTCAAGTATGAAAGTAGTGATGGGGAGGAAGGTTTGCACTGTTTTCTTTTTCGTTGCTCATGCTTCTACTATTATATTTTTTCTTACCTGCAATAGTCCCTAAACTAGTTTCTTGGTCTCTCCAGGATATCCCGGAGATGTTACTGTAACCGCCACTTACACACTGGCGTCAACCAACACGCTGAGGCTGGACATGGAAGCAGTACCTAAGAACAAGCCAACTCCGATTAGCCTAGCTCAGCACACATATTGGAACTTGGGAGGGCACAAATCTGGGAACATCCTGGACCATCTTGTTCAGTTGTCGGCATCCAGAATTACTCCGGTCGATGAGAACTCAATCCCAACTGGAGAGCTTCTGCCAGTTAAAGGCACTCCCTTTGACTTCACATCAGAGAAAAAAGTTGGAATCTCAATCGGTGAAGTTGGTATAGGGTATGATCACAACTACGTACTGCTTGAGTATTCTGGTCAAGAGAAATCGGGGTTGAACCATGCAGCTAAGGTGAAGGAGCCTTCAAGCGGTAGGGTGTTGAACTTGTGGACGGATGCTCCTGGTGTGCAGTTCTATACCGCTAATTATGTGAATGGGGTTGCTGGAAAAGAAGGGGCGGTTTATGGAAAGCACTCTGGCTTATGTCTCGAGACGCAAGGCTTCCCGAACGCGATCAATCAACCCAATTTCCCATCTATTGTGGTTCAACCAGGAGAGAAATACAAGCACAGCATGTTGTTTGAGTTCTCTGTGGAGTAAGTACGACACCCCCTTGTTCATCGAGGAAAGGCAAAAGTACTTCTGTCAGCTTGCTTTAGTCTCTTCAGTTTGTGAAAGTTAAGCCAGGTATTCTGCTGTTTGTGTTTTGTGCATATTGGATGACGGAAGTCGCATGTTTGATATGATAATAAGGAATTCTAAGACCCATGATTTGCTGAAGTCACTTTGAGTTATTCTCTCTTTTTATGTCATTGTGTGTGAGAGTGTGTGAGGGCAGTTCCCGGCTTATCTATTTAAGCTGAAACAGTCCTTTATGTTACTCGTACGAGTCATTATAGACTGGAGTGGCAATAATCTGGACCAAATTCCCAGTTTCTCTCTAGTTCCTGTTAGAGGTCTGAGAATTCCCAGCTTGTGCAGTTAGCTTCTAATTTCTATGGCCTCCTACATATGTTTGTCCATTCAGTTCGGAATTTAACAGAATGAAATTACCATATCTCCAAACCAAGTTCATAAAGAAACTTCTGGGTTCGTTTCACTGTGCGTTATCATCTTGTCTTCAGCAACTAACAGATAGTTCATATTATGGACGACAAACTAACAACCGACCAAAATCCCCACATAAAAATTCCATTACAAATTACAATAAACCATCCCAAAGCAAGAAACCCCCAAAGTGAAAAGGAAGGAAGAAGAAAAAGCAGAGGACTACTGGGAGTTCAGTTCACCCATCCACTCTTGGAAACAAGGGTAAGCCTTTTCCATGGTTGTGTTCCTGGATTCGTCTACAACACAAATAAGAGAGCCTTTCAGCCTCCTTAGACTGAGGAGCTGGACAAGTAGCTTCCAAAATTGTTGGAGGCTTTTCTACTCCAGTCTTTTGAAGTAGAGGAGACTCCCAAACACAGGACATCCAAGAAGTCCCGTTAGACTTCTAAAATTGTTTCTTTTTTCGGACTGATGATCACTTCACCAGTCAAGAGTGGCAAACTAGACCTGGAATCACTCATCCCAACGAGAGATCCTTCAGCCAGTTTTTGGCAAAATTGCCGGGTCCACTGGAGGCGTTGGGAACTTTGAGCCCTGCAGTTTAGTCTTTAGGGGTTCCCCTGCTGTTTCTCTTTGACCAAGGGCAGCTTCTGCATTTCACAGTTCCAGTACTCAAGTCAACTCAGAGGACTTTCACTCATGCTCCTGACACGAAACTCCACTGCTCTGAGATCACGCAGATGCTGCAGTATCTCTTGAAGAAGATCCATCCCTTTGTCCCCCTTTTGAATTGAGCTCATACAGTGTTTAAGAAACTCCCTGTCTGCTTCAAGAGCTTGTAGCCTCTCATACACATGATCTACCTCATCCTCAATTGCTAGCGTCTTGCTCTCCCCTCCAAATCTGCTAACAACTGAAGAAGAATCACCATCCATCCCAGATATTTCCACGTTCTTCTTCTCATTCATCAGCCCTTCTTCTTCTTCTTCATCATCCTCCTCCTCAGCAGCATCCAATAGAGGAAGGAGGCTCTTTGCCATCGAAGCCATCGTTTTCCTCTCAGGGCAATGCTTTGTTTCCTTGGCTCCATCCTCTTCTTCTGGTGTACTCAACTCGTTATCATAGCTGTCATCAAACCCATGTTGAGAGACACTGCTGTAGTTCAGTGACTGCCTCACCGAATTCACATCATTCATTAGCTCGTTACTATCCCCCAGGTTGAGCAGCTTCTCCTCCAACACCTTCAACTGATCTAGAATTGAAACCCTCTCATCCTCAAACTCTGCCAATGAGTCATCAAGTGCAGTCATATGGTGCACGCAGTCCATTGCTATTTCCTCCAAGTTTATGTTCTCATCTTCACCACCACCATAACTATTGTGATCATTACTGCTTTCTGGGTTCTCACTCATACTTCCACTCTCATCCCTTGCTTCACGATTCAAATCAATTGATGATAACTCCTCACTATCCTCACCATTGTTGCAAGTAGATGAAGATTTGACACTTCTTAAACTGCCATCTTCACTTCTTCTTCTCACCATTCTCAGTTTCTCTCTGGCCTCATAGTCCAAAACCCTTTTCCGGTAAACTTCCAACTCTCTCTCGAGCTCCTGCTTCTCCTTTTCCCTCTTGATCATCAGATCGTTCAGAAGCTGTAAAGCCTCCTGATCGTACTCGGACTGCTCCTCCATCATTCTCTGATACTGTAGTGCCTCCATCTGCATTGCTGCCTTTTCTTCTTGAAGCCGGTTTATCATTGCCATGGTTTGGTTTGCAGCGATTGCAGATGCACTCCTCTCTTCCTCTAGCTCTGTATATAAAGCATTCAGTGCATTCTGCTCTGACTTCAGAGCTGTTCTCAGGCGTTCTATGGTGAGAACCGGGTCGCCATTCTCAATCTCGCTCACCACGCTTCCGTCGTCAAATGACTCTTCCGCACCCGAGTCTCTTTTCTCGAACATCATCAGTAGCTTATTGTGCAAGTTGTTTTGAATGTTGTCCATGAAGTTTGGTGTGTCGGGAAGCTTTTCCGGATCAGGATTCCCAATTCCTTCTCCACTCTTCTCAACTGAAGTGTTGAAATGCAGCAACTCGCCAAGTCCATTGCTGATTACTTGTGGTTGTTGAGGAGCATCATTCTTCTCAATTGAAGTGTTGCACTGCAGAAGCTTGCCAAGTCCATTGCTAGTTACATGTGATTGTTGAGGAGCATCATTCTTCTCAATTGAAGTGTTGCAATGAAGCAGCTCGCCAAGTCCATTGCTGATTACTTGTGATTGTTGAGGAGCATCATTCTTCTCAATTGAAGTGTTGCACTGCAGCAGCTCGCCAAGTCCATTGCTAGTTACATGTGATTGTTGAGGAGCATCATTCTTCTCAATTGAAGTGTTGCAATGCAGCAGCTCGCCAAGTCCATTGCTATTTACATGTGATTGTTGAGGAGCATCATTCTTCTCAACTGAAGTGTTGAAATGCAGCAGCTCGCCAAGTCCATTGCTAGTTACATGTGATTGTTCAGGAGCAGATGCAGGTTCAGATTCTTCTTCTTCTTCTATCTGGCTTGGCAATGGAGTTGATTCTTCCTGAACTTCATTTGAAGAGGGGGTGTGAAGTTCCTCGAACTCATCATTGAGTATAACTGCAGTGTCTTCTGCAACTCCCTCCTGGGCTGCAATTGTTTCAGGGGAAAGTATGGTCATTGATATTCTAGCAAGCAGAAAATGGTTCAAAAAAAGGAAACGGTTGTTTTATACCTATAGAGTATTCTTCTTGCTTTCCAACTGGTTCCACATCTTCAATTTCTGCCTCGTGTTGCTGGTCACCGCAATTCAGCAAGATGCCTTGTTCAGCTTCAGAGTTGTGAATCTCCCAGCCTTGAGTATTTGCATCTTCCTCTAAACCAGTTGTTGTGGGTTCTGCAAGATCCACAGCTAATGATCTCTCGCCATTGTTTTCCGTACTAGCATAGATCTCGATACTTCTTGCAGCTTCTTCTTCTTCCTCACCGTGTATTTTCTCTTTGTGTTCCTCTTCTGCATCCACTAGAGCTTCATCTCCCTGAATTTCCTGCTTCAAGCCCGGAGATTTGCATGATCCAACTTGGTAAGCAGAAGAAGTGGACGAATCAAACCCAGAACCGGAATCGTGGTGAACATGATGAAGAGACATGATTTCAAGTGGATCATCTTCTCCAAAACAGTACTCAATGAACCTGTCATGATCATCAGAAGAAGGTTGATTCTGTTTTACAAACTCCATCTCAATGCAAGACCTCTGCCTCTCTGCCTCTCCTTGTTGTTCCCCATTCCTGGTTTCTTTCAGAACCTCAACTGTTCCATCTTCAAGGCTGCTGAAACAGTCAGCATTCGCACCAGCCTCTCCATCTCCACGATCGCCATCGTCGTCATCATTGGCTTCCATTCCCATAAGCATCAAATGGATCCCCTTCATATCGTCAGCAGCATCCTGAATCCCACATTTCAAAGGATTGAGCAGCAAGTAAGGCGGGGGAGGGTAAAGATCGGGTGCTACGATCTCACCACAGCAGGAACACTGGTGGTGGCAATTATCAGCCTTCTTCTTGGTCTCGTCGTGATCGCCATTGGCAGCAACCCAGGAGATGAAACTGAAAGCTGCAGCAATGGTGGGTGCTGCAGGGGAGGCGGAGCGAGGAGGAGCGGAAGCGAGGCAGTGGTGGCACATGGACTGGGAGTCTGCAAGGCGGTGGTGGGAGTTGCAGAAGGTGAGGGTGGAAATCTCTTTGGCGTGTGATTCGCAGATGAGGTCTGTGTGAGAAATGGGGGAGGAAGCAGAGGAGATGGCAGGGGAGCACCAGAGGCAAGGCGGGGGGAGGCCGAAGTAGGAGGCGAATTTGGAGATGAGAAAGGAGAAGCAGGAGTTTAGGAGGAGGAGAATGATGAGGATCCATTCGAGGAAGGCGTAGACTAGTACCACTGTGATTCTGGGTGTGTTTCTGTGCAGCATTGTTGCGAACTTGTTGGCCGCCATGGATGGATGGAAGGGTGGATCGCCTCTCTCTGGTTTCTGGGTTTGCTTCTGTTGTTTCTTTTTTTTTCTCTTTGGAGGATGAAACTAGGTGTTGAGGAAGGGAAGGCAGGGGAATGGAGAGTGGAAACTTTTGACAAAGCAATGTGAAGTTGTATTATTTTTTTGGTGGTTTCGACAGCTACGTAACACCCACACAGCAACAGACATCATCATTTTTCTTTATTCCCATCCCATCATCTCCACCACTACCGCTGCTACTTTATCTTCCTCCTTTACCACCCTCTTTGCTTTATCTGAAGATTACTAATGGCGATGGAATTGCAGTTCAGCAGAAACAACTTCATTTTCTACACTGCTCAGCACAGCGCTCCTCTCTCTTTCCTTTCCGACTCTTGCAGCCCTGTCCAGTACACGAAAAAGCAGTCCCGTCCGTCATCCTTGGCCCTTGCTTTGTCCTGGACGTTGGAATTATACCATGTACCAGCGTAATGTAATTAAACTAGACAATGCTGCCGGCTTTCCACTGTGGAGTTGAGATGAAGTGTTCTACCGGTTTCTTTTGTTATTATCAAAGCGTACACATATATTAGGGCCATTAATTAAAATTGTTCCACACATTTAAAAAGTAACAAAAATGTCGAATAAGTATCAAGATATAACAAAACAACTATATCATTTCTTTTCATCCAAAATGGTCAATTAGCTTGCTTCGAAACTACTTCTACTTTTTTGCTGAATTTTACATATTTGTCATTGGAGTGAGCAAGTCCTCAGTTGGCTATGGCATAGCATTTATCTCTTCAATTTCATGTCACCCTTCATCTCTTTCCCTCCATTCTTATGCCGAAAAGAAACTATTCCTTTTTCTTTCCTTTTGCACGCCTGTCGATATCCATGGATGGCATATACGCAAGCAAGAGTTGCATGCAATGAAGAAGAGACAAATTGTGTTCGAGAATAACCTGTGAGATTGCTACTTCTTCTAGCTCAAGCTCCTTGCCATCAACCGCAACAAGAGGTCATGAGCGAGCTACGAACCCATGGGGGTTTACGCCACCTTCGAGGAGCAGAACCTCACCATGGAGGGCACAGTCCACGGCTTCCACCAGCCTGAAGATAGCTACGACATGATGATCTTCCCCCGGGAGCGGGAGTCTCAAGTGGAAGACAGGGCCTTTCGCCAGAAGCAGGCACAACTTCCAGTTAAGCTGTGACGCGGTATTGGAGTTTGTGGAGCAGAACTGGCCATGGAGAGCACGGCCAGGGGCAGCCACAGCCATATAAGGGGGGGGGGGTTCTCTCGTTGGGTCCATCTCCACCTCAGTTCACCGTTCTGGCCGTTGAAGTCTACCGGTTCGACGTGGTTCCAAATTCTAGCACCGTGGCTACTGATCGTAGACGTGTATCAGCTAACCATCCTTCCATACACCATCCAACACGTAGATCTCCCGATCAACTCGTTCTTCTAGGTCGGCCTCATGATTCGCAACCCCAATAAGAAGTACAACATCCACTATGAGCCGATGCATGTTTAAGCTACCTTCGGAGAGCAAAATATTTCAGCGAGGGGATCTTCCATACCTTCTACTAACACCTAGAGTATTACATAATAGTACTCGTAAAATTGGAGTATAAGTATAATACAAAGAGCATTATGTTATACTATAAGTATTGTTATATAACTTGTCAAAGTTATATTCCTCATCGTTCTATAGGTAGCAGACACATTTTATGACTACTTGTTTGCCACATCTACGTTTCTGTGGCTCGTATGGAAGTATATGTGTTGAATTTTGGAAGGTTTGTGTGTGTTTTTATTAATTTGTCTCATTAGCTATTCCACGTCAATTGCACGACGTCTAGACAAAACTAATAATATAATATTCTATTTTATTAAATTGTGCCAAGCTCCTCATGAATTCAATTATTTGGTACTTCATATTTTAAAATAATCAACTAAGCACATACTAAAATTTATAGAAATTTACCATCTTAATACACTAGGGAATAATAACCGGTTGATATCAAAGAACCCCATGTACATCAATCATCTTTCCTTCCACTCACATGATTAACTATTGATAATGTCTAGAATTCAGCAATGTCGTGTTTAAATTATTGGGGTTGCAGGCAAGGAGGCCGACTTGGAAGATGCTGTCGATTCGGATAACGGCGGGATGGAGGGGGTCGGGAAGGAAGCTCACGCGGTACACTTCGACCACTATGATTGAGAACTGAGGAGGGAAAGGAGAAGAATGGAAAACCAAGAAATTACAACTCCGACGATGGACATCACGGCCAGCAGAGTGATGAGGTAGGAAAAAATCTTCCTCATCGCCAGTTTTTGGGGGGAGATGATGGAGCTTGAAAGATGATGGAACTTGAAAGATGTTGGAGCTTAATATATATATATATTTAAGCATACGAGTAAGTGAGTTTGTTCATTCTTGTGCATGCATGCGTTCGTAGAAGCTAATTAGGGGTTCAGATCCATTTCTTCCAATTAGGGGAACAATGAGAGTTTAGGGTAAAATGATATATGTAGTGGGATGTTTACACTTGAAAGATGATGGAGCTTAATGTAAGCATACGAGTAAGTGGGTTTGTCTATTCTTGTGCATGTATACTCACGTATAAGCTAATTAGGGGTTCAGATCTTTTTATCTCAATTAGGGCAACAATGAGAATTTAGGGGATGAGATATATGTAGATTATCTGCTATAATATATTTGTAGATTATCTAACTCCGACTTGTTACCATCTCTACTCATATTGCATTTTAATGATAAATTGATAATATGATTATACATAAAACCAAGATTTTTATAAAATAAAATACATAGAAAGAGTTAACAACAAAAAGAAACACATTACTCCAATAGCACAACCCCAATAAAACCCATTTTGATTTGACATTATTATTATATGATGGTAATAAATGTAAAACTGAAAAAATAGGTGACCAAAACTAAAATTTTAGGCAACAGTAACTTGGATTCAAGTTTTATTATTATATGATGGTAATAAATGTAAAACTAAAAAAAATAGGTGACCAAAACTAAAATTTTAGCCAACAGTAATTTGGATTCAAGTTTATTTATAATAATGTATGAATGGATGGAGTTATGGTATTTCAAAACTGGTCATGTTATGGAATTAGGTACGGTAAAGCTAGGTAGCTAATTATCCAACTCTGGTTTGTTATTCAAAATTGTTTTCCTGTGAGTATTGGGGTGTCAAGTCCAAGTAGATGATGCATTGTTCCATAAGATATGACAACCTTACATCCAAATTAGGCATGCGTAACAAGTTTATAAGGTCGTTTTAGCGGATTTGCTAGTTTAAGGAGCTAGTTAGTCATTTTATTTATTTAATTAATTCATTTACTTAACTTACTTTTTTCATCATCTTCACATTAACATACGAGGTAAGTTTATGTATGTTCAGTAATGTTCGTGTGGTATTGCATTTCGTCATAAGGTTATGTTTTAAATCAATCTAATACAAGCTACATTTTGAGCAAGTTTAGGAACTTATGTTTAATGATATACTAATATGTCAAGTAAGAACTCGTTTTTAATCACCCGCTTGACTAGCAACACGTGCCTACCTTGCTTCCCACTGTGTGGAAGTTTTGCTCATGTTAAGTCATGTTGGTATTCATCAGTTGCTTAGATAGCAAGTGGTTACCTTATGCTGGGCACAAGTTAGTACCTTAGATAGCACACGGTTACTTTATGTTAAGTTATGTAGGCTCGCTCTATATACCCACTGACCGGCACAACCTCTACAGGTTCAGCTTAGGGTCAGGGTCATATTTTAACCATGTAAGGGTCGAGAAGGGTCGGTTCACTTTTTGGTCCTATGACCCATCTATGACCTATAGCAACAACTAGTGATTTGAAATTCATCATACCAAAAGACTTGACATGTACGTTGTAAAGTTTTAAAAGTTTAGGTACTATAATGCAAGTAAAAAATATAAAGGTACAAAAACATAATTTTACCCCAATATTTCTCGACCCATTTGTAAAAGATATAGTTTAGGTAACAAATTGTAAGAAAAAAATTTGGGTAGCAAAATGGAATTTTTTAAAAATCAAGTTATTGGTCGATTAGGACCAACCTGATGGTTTGACCTAACTCGGCTTGAGCGAGTCAAACAGGGTCAATGAGGAAACAAAGGCAGGGCGGGAAGACCTTGTTTTATAAATTGACCCTATAGGGTCGGACAAGATTCTTACAGGGTCATTGTCGGGTAAAGCCTAGTTTCAGCCCTAGCATCGGCCAGTTGCTTAAATTGCACGGAATTACATTTACTTCCCGTCAGGTGGAAAGTCTACGTTTATGTTGTGTCATCCCATCAATTGGAAGCTCACATTTATGTATGTAAGTATGTTATGATTGATGTCGCTCGTTCCGATAGTTAAGTTAAACTCGGGCTCCCTTTATAAGAGGTACACTTCAGTTATGTTTAAGCAAAATAATGTACTAAGCATTGTATGAGCATGTGTTTTTGTCATAGGTATCCCCAGCGGGGAAACAATATATATACGAAAATCTACAAGAACTTTGCAGGTCGGGTCATAAAATGGAAAGAAGAAGAAAAAAATTGGTTGACTAACGTACCATCTAATGATACAAGGGCGTTTTGTCATAGATTGGACGGTCCTATTATACCCACGAGGCGCGAAATGAAACGTAGCACGCTGAAGATCAATCATGTAAACAAATCTAATGAAATAAAATTCATAACAAAATTCAATAAGCAAACAATAACCTCTTTTAAATCAATAATGAGAGTAATGACTACAAATCTCGTAATTTAGGATTTTTTAAAATTCAAATTTTACCAAAACACCATTTTTCCCTAAATCTCAACAATCCTAACATTTGTTAGAGAGGTCCATTGATTGATTACTTTATTCTCTTTAACCAAAAAAAATTCAAAGGCGCGTAATTTATTTGGACCGCTCCACACACCGAAAAGAAAAATGAGCCCACTGTTAGATGCACATGAAAGAAGTAGTGGGCCAATACTCTACCAACACTGTGTTGGCCCACATGTAACGGCAATCTTGGACAGGCATTCTGATTTTGGCTTTGAACCTTTGATCCTCTTTTTCTTTAAAAATTTAAAAATTACAATGATAAATTAAAACTAATAGTGAAGGAATAGTAATTGACGAATGAATAACAGTGAACAGCCTTGTTATAAGAACCGAACCGGATCAACGGCTGGGCCAGCGGAATCGTCAAACCAATTATGATAGTGGTTCGGTTCATTATTTAAATGAC